TTTTTTATTTATTTTTTTTTTTCACAAAAAAACAAAAAAAAAAAAAATTACCTCAATTCCATAAAATAAAGCAACACCTGCTATAGTATCAGATGGTTTAATCTCATGTACAATAACCATTTTCTTTTCATTATTATCAACTTCTTTCAATAAATTATTTTTTAAATTCGTATTAATACTAATTTCTGACATACTACTTCTTTTTCTTAAATTATTGCCGTCAATGTTTTGTTGTACTATTTCATTACCTGTTCCATCAATTTTGGGTGAAGAATGCCGTTTACCAACTAATAATAAATCATCGTTCTTGTTAAATTTCTTAAAAAATGGAGGAGTAATTGGTGAAGTAGTAATTTGATGATTAAGTGGATGTGAAGTTGTTGGTTTAAGCGCTAATTTATGTGGAGAACTGATAGAAGTTGATATATGTTCCAATATAGGTCTTTTCTTTTTATATTCTAATTCCCTTGTTAAGGACGTTTTAGGTGGAAAGAATACTTTTGGTGGTGCATCATTAACTGTGGAAAAAAAAAAATTATTATTAGCTGTTATTGAATTTTGCTCAATAAAAGGATAAATTATAAATACCTGGCCAATTCTGAAAACAAATATTTTCCATTTTAAAAATTTTTAATTTACGAAAAGCCTTTTTTTTGTGGTTATAAATAATTCGGAACTTTCCAACTATACCTTAATCTGAAGTAATAATAAATTGATTGATTACCTCTAAAACAAGTTTAAACTAGTTTTGATAAAAAAAAAGAATATAGTTAATTACCGGATATATTTTCTCAAATAAGGCTAGTTACGATAAAAACATACATCGGGTGAAAGCCTAAGCAACATAGATATCCTATGAATAATACTCCGTTTGGGAAATTTGAGATCCGGATATAAACTATCGGATTATCCTAAGTTGATAATAAATTAATTTAATTCGCCAAAGTTTTTCTAGAAACTGTTCGTGGCACAAATAACGATCAATATTGACCATCCACAGAAAATTACTGGACGTGCATGATTACGCACTCGTACTTAAATATTTCGATAATTCCAAAAAAGTCAAATAGGAGCATTAAAACATTTAACATTTTATATTTCCGATGCTCATCATACTAAAAAGTGAGTTTTTAAAAATGATACAAATTTTTTAATTAAACGGTAATAATTATACAATTCAAAATATTTTTTTTTAAGAATATCATCAGAAAAAAATTGTATTTTTTTGTATTTTTTTTTTGATAATGCAATGTTAAAGAAAAATACAATCAATAAATCAAAAACTGCTATCATACATATAAATAAAAAACTATATATAAAACTGTGTACATCTGTAAAATCCAACTGATCAATATATTTACAACAATATAAATTTTTTTTTTTTTGGTTTTTTTTACTATATAAGCCAAAGATAAACCCAAATGATTTTGTATGAAGGAAAAAAAATGTGTATAATAATAAACAATAAAAACTGATATTTATAACATTGAAAATTTCTTTTTTAACTTATTGCCGATTTCTTTCTAAAGAACCACCTCCAGCTGCAACTTCACTAGCTACCTTTTTCGCTAATGCCATACGGAAATCCTCTATACCTTCTATACTCAACAGTATAGAATTGTTATTCCCTAAACTATTTCGAGTTCCAGGCGCACTTGCACTAGATCCCATACTGCTTGCTGAAGAAGCACTTGCACTACGTTGCATTAATGCAGCAGGCTTTGGCATTAATGGAGGAGGAGTTGCTGAACGTGGCTCATCTAATGATCTACGTGTAGAAATTCCGGGTGCATAAGTAAAAGGTTTTGCACCAGGAGGGCTAGCAGAAGAAGTACGTCCATGAGCTTTCATAAAAGTAGCTGCAGGACTTTTTGGTGCTAATTCACCATTAGATGAACTTCGAGAATGAGATGTTGCTCGTATCATAGCGGTGGGACTTTTGGGAGTTTCAACGGCTTCATAGCCACCAAACATCACTCTCATAGCACCAGTTCTCCAACTAGTTCTTTTATTACTGGATATAGAGGTTGGATTCATTGTTGATTCGGTATGAATTCTGGAAATTTCTTCCTTACAATCTGCTTCTGTATTTTCTTTTTCCTTTTCATTTTCACTAACTTTATTTTTCTCTTCTTTCTCTTCACGTGCTTTTTCCATACTACTCCGTGATCCAAAGAAAAAGTTTCCAACCTTTTCTGTAATGTTTCTTTTTTCTTTTTCTCTAACACTGCCCACTTCTTTATCTGAGATGGGCCCAGCCCTATCTGATTTAGTTGTGATTGATGTGGTGACTATTATATCAACTCCTTCTTCCAAACTATGAGGTCTTGAATCCCCACTACCACTAGTAGAACTCGTTCTCCCAATTCCACTGCTAGTACTAACATTACCTCCAGTACTTGTACCACTTCCTCCAACAGTGCTTCCTGTGCTACCACGACACGTATTGCTAGAATTTGACATCGCACTATTTGGAGTACCGTTCCATGAAGCTGTTCCAGCCCGACCACCATTGCTATGTCCATTTTTGTGCTTTTGCGGCTCACGTTTTAAGCTCAATTCATCCACACTTTTTTCTGGAATCCACACTCTTGTTAATAAATAGTGTGTAATTAATTGTTGCTTTTCTTCAATAGATTCATCTTCATCATCATTCCTATTATTATATTTGTAACCACTACCGCGATGAAGAGCAGCACTAATGCTTGCTGTACGAAAATGATGATGTTTAGTTGATGCTTTTATGTAAGCTTCAGGTGGAGTTGGCTGATACTTTGGTCCATGTTGATATCTAATCATAGTTTGCAATAATTCTTGTATACGAGGATCTTCCTGTAAAGATTGCATTCCTCCAGGAGAATGTAAATTCATCAACGATGACGTAGAACGAGGTGTGGTTGGTGTATGATTGTTATTAGATAAAGATATACCAGAAGAATTTGATGAACCTGCAGATTTAACAGCAGCAATTAAATAGGTAGCGTCCATAATAAATGTTCCTAAAAATGGTATAGTAGGCTTCCTTAAGAAACCTTCTCGTTGTATAGTCTCCCGATATTTTCCATAATTTCTCGTTTCGCTCATCATGTCACTCAAAGCTTCCAACTTTACCATGCTCTTTTTTGGAATACAAGCCCATGTTCTTTTTAGTCTTTTTATAGGTGGTGTTCCCAGTGCAGCAAGAATAGCCTTTAAAGTTTGAAAATTATGTAATTCGTGTAACTTAACAGCCACTTTTACCCAATGGTTTATAATTTGCGCACGCGAGGAGGCCTCTAGAGGTAGTAGGATTGACCGTTCTACAACCCTTGTAAGATAATTAAAAAAGTCCGTTGAAGCAGTTATTTTTGAGTGAGGATTCTTTGGAGAATGTGAGAGAAGAACTGTTGGATCAATTTCCAAAAATATTGCAGATTCAATTAAAGTTAATTGATATGCAATCATATGAGGTGCAAATTCTAAAATATCCGGATCTTCAGCAGCTTTATAAACTAATTTTCGAGATCTTGTTATTGATTGTTTTAGACCAGCGACTGTAGTTCCATGCTTCTCAATTGTCTCCTTAATTTCTTCATCTGAAAGTTCTGACCATGTTAATCCATCAGATTCAGACTGTGGATAACCAGCTTCTCTCATTTTGGATATAATACGATATTCTGACAATTTATTTTCTAATATTTGAATTTTTTGTTTCAATTGTTCGTGCTGAGTTAATAAAGGTGACTCTGGAATTTCAGGTACGTGATCTGAATATTGTGGTGAACTCGGTGATTGGGCATTTTCGTTTTCAGTCAACGTAGTAGCAGGTACCAAATTATTTGGATTAACAGCGCCTTCAGGAATAACACTGATCATTTTTGGTCGTTGTTCAAATAAATTTGGAATTGACGACGGTACAGCTATTGCTCCATAAAATGATGCAGGCGTCGTAGGAGACGCCAAATATGAAGAATAAGGACTTTCTTCATCCGTTGGTGAGTCTGTTATAGATCCTGTTATCGATCCGGTTAGTGTAGGCCGTCTTCTAGACGTTGAAACAACATGACTAGGTGACGAAGAACGTCGACGAAGTAATGTTTGTGAAATTGTAACATCTAAAGATGACTCTGATCTGCGAAGATAAGAACCTATAAAAGGTTGAGAATATAATTAACATACAGAAAAAAAAAATTCGTAAATTGAAACAATGACTAAGTCCTTACCATTTCTTTCGGTGTAATCTTCGTCTTCATCGTCTGTATCGGAACTATCTGCATCATCATCGTCATCCTCACCCTCACCAGAAACAACATGTGCATCCCTACCGATACCAGACACTTCAATATCCTTTAAATATTTTTTCATGCTGGGAGTTCTTACAGGCTTTGGCGGTAATGGAGGTTTTGTTATCGGAGAAACTGGCTGATCATTTTTTGGTGAATTTGACGATCCATCATCGGTTACTTTATTAAGAGATCTGCGCGTAGGCTTCGGTGGTATCGGAGGCGCTCTATTTGGCGATGAATCATGTGGATGTTCCTCCTGTTGTGGTGTTGGTGGATATATTGCTATGTTTAGATTTGGATTTCTTCGTATTACGGGTGGAGTTTGATGTTTAACTATGATGTCTTCAGCATAGGATAGACATGTCCTAGATAAAGTAAAAAGTGAAGAAAGAGACGCCGGTTTTGAGGCTACAACTAAAAATTATAAATGTAGAAATTGGTTACAATCAGCCTTCTTAAGAAATTTTTTGCTAATGTTTAAACTAACCGAATCCAAATTAAATTTCTATTTATCCTAATTATCATTTACAAACATGACATAAAATTGTTTTAAATTTATGTGAAATCTTACCATTATTTACAAATTTGATGCTATTTAGCTCTTTTGCTATTACATTCAGTGCACTTATATATGAAAAGTAGGCATCCTGAATATATTATGCAAAATTAGACATACAAATTAGCAAATCAGAAACAAAAAAATATAAAATTTCTTTTCTTTTTGCGTTAAAAAAACAAATCACACCTTTACATTTCCTGAAGACAAATGATCAGTGGCATCTTTCAAAAGTTCCTGGAGTATATCCTCCATAACTCCCCTATTTTTTAACAACTTTATTTAAATAATTTGCAACTATTCCCAATTTTAGTCGAAACCGCCTCCTATCCCTTAATGCTTTTTCTTTCGTCGTTATAATATTGTAATGTTGCTTTTTGTTGAAAGTAAATACTTTTTCAGTTTTATAAGTATAGAACAAGAAAATAAAGCAAGAAACGATAAACTTAAATGGTACATGTAAAGTTTGATGATCTTGTTACAAACATACAAATGTCATTATCGTTACAACAAAAAAATATTTTTTAAAGGTGCCTTGTCCTAATGTTTGTTAATTCTTTTAATTAATTTTTAATTTTTACTATAATATTTATTTATATACCGGGCGAACCCCCCTTTAATTTACACTAAAAGAAAATATTTACAAGATGGAGTAAAGGAATTATTAACTGTCTGGTTGAAGAACAACTCGAGAATAATATAATGAAACAAATATAAAGTTCTGTATCTTTTACGTCATACAGGTTGAAGTCCCCGGGAACTTGATGTAAGAGTGCCGTTGAAAAATCCGTCATCGCGTGACATATTCGTCATATTTAATTCTGCCCAACTAGATTTTCAAAGGGAAAAAGAAACATTTTCTAATATTCAACAAAATCAATTCGTTTATCATTAATTTCTTTATATATTAATCTGAAACCTAAATAAAATACCATGATAACTCTAACTGTCCTGATATACCAGTGTATTTCTTTAAACTAAATCTTACCGCAGGTGATTTTCATGGTACACACATTTTTTTTACAAAATATTGATCTAATCATAAACAAAGATCTTTAATTATCTTTTTATTGAATTTGATCTTGATTTTGGAATTGGAGTAAATTGGCAAATAATTTTTTTTTAAAAAGTATAAATTTATTATTATATAATTAAAATAATTAAATTATTTTTTATAAGTATTTTAAAAAGGCATTTTATTAATTTATATTTTATTAGTTTCACTAATTTTAATAATTTTATTGGTTTAAGTTAAATTAAATTATAACTTAAATTTTCAAGTTAATTAAATTAATTAACCAAAATTTAAAGTTGAATTAGTTGAATTGATTTGATTTTATCAATGATTGATTTAATTTAGAATTTTAGGTTAACTTTGCTAGATTTATTTAAATTAAAATTAAACTGAATTAAATGTAGAATTATAAATTAATTCTACTAATTTAGATTTATTATACTAATTCCATTAATTTTATTTATTAATTTAACTTTATTAATTTATCAATTTAATCAGAACTTTAAATATATTAAATTATATTAATTTGATAATTTAGTATTAAAGTTTAATTTAAATTAATAATAATTTATTTTATTATATAATGAATTTATAATTAAAATTGCTTTTATATATAATTACAATAAATTTTATCTTTATATTATAATATTTAAAATTTAATTAGTAAAAATAATAAATTATTATTTTTTTTTTTTTTGGCTGCAGCACATTTGAATACTTTATTAAATTAAAATATAAAATTCATGATATGTATACAAATATTTGAATAAAATTCTAAACTAATTTAATAAGTACCAAACCACTCATTAACTCAAATCAAGCAACAATGTGTGCAATGTCAGTTGGAACTCTGGACTAGAAGAGTAAGTGCTTCTTGAAGGAATCCTTTCTTAGAGGGTTCCTCTCCTCCCAATCTATGTCCTGTAAGTATTCAAAAAATTACTATAACTGCAACACAAAATTCAAGACACAAAAAAGCAAGAAAAAAAAGAAGTAACAAAAAGAAAGCCAAGTAAAAAAATTTAATAGGTGTTAGTGAAAATAATCAAATACAAAAGCATCATCACACTATTTGTATCACCAATTCACCATCTAAGATTTCGATTTCATCACATCAATTTGTTAGAGATCATAATAGCAAATGAATTTCAGCTAAAAATTGTAAGTTTGTCACCATCATCCAAATCTTTTTTGCAATTATGTTGTTAAAAGATTTGCTCTTCAAATTTTTCATGTCTGATTATTTCTTTTGCAATACATTAGGATTTTCTTTTTAGTTCCACTTTTAATTAAAATCTTGTTTTAGTGGCCTATTTTTAAACTTGTTTAAGATAGGCAAAAAATACTTTTTCTAAATACCTTTAAATTTGTTAAAGTTAAATTCTATATAAAAAGCTTTATTCAAGTTGACTTAAATGTCATAATATGTAATTAACTTTCTATGCCCACGTTCTTAACTATTTTGAAAGCATAACAATTTTTATAAGAAACTAGCGGTGATTAAACTAAGTTATCAGCAAAATATAATATACCTATATTAAGTTTATCAGGTATGTCTAATAATATAGTTTAAAATTTCTCATATTCTTTATGTTGCTTCAAAGTCCAGAATACCAGAAATTATTGAATAGGTAAATCACAATAAGGAGCAGTTCAAGTTCCTTTATTCTATAAATTCAATATCTCTTTAAAAAATTCTATAATATCATAATTATCACATATTTCTTTTGCTTTTTAAATTTTATAATAATTACAGTTTATCCTTCCTATAGCGAATTTTAATATAATGAATCATGTGGCGCTTAGCCAATAAAATATATTAATTTTTCTTCACTATAATGAAGTAACCAATCAAAATTTTCAAATTCTTCATTAACTTGCTATAATAAATTTGAGATATAGAATAATTTCTTTGTTACATTAAGGATAGACTATACTTGATTTCAACTTTTGAAACCATCTAGAATTTTGAGCTAAGTTAATATCACAGGAATGTCATATATCACACTCTTTTTATTCATAAAAGTGTAACCAGTTATAATTGTTAATATGCATTTTTTTAAATCATTATGCTTCAACTTTTTATTAGTTTTCTGCACCTGTATCTTTTTCTTTAATATACTGCTCTTCTTAAAAGTATTACAGTCAACTCTCTTTATAGTCACACATTTGGGACAGTCCATATTTGGTGATTATAAAGAGATGTGACTATATAAAAAATTTCTTATATTTGTATATCATAATTCCGGCCAAAAATTAACATAATTTTAGCCAGAATTATACTTAAACCTTTATTGTATCGTAACTTCGCCAATATTAATCGTAGAGAGATGATCTT